GTTATTTATAAGCATTACTTTTATCATGATCGAACTTGTCATTGATAGCACAGAATGGGTTGGCCAATAGTTCATGCTTGTTTTTTATCCACTCTTCTGCGACAAAACCTCAGGTGTCAAAAATGTGGTTATTTTCGCCTTGGGTGTTGAGTGTGTTGTACTCTGTGCAGCGCGGCGAACCCTCAAGGTACGGACCATTCTTCATGTCTAATCACACTGGAAGCCTACATAAACCGAAAACCTTGGAACCATAGCATTGCTAAGGGTATTTTAATGAATATATCAACGGCTTTTTAATTCCGCATATTGAGTGTTGGGTCGTCGGAGTGGAGATAATAGAATTAATTCTCACCTTTGGTTGACAGTTGCAATTGCATTTTTAATGAACTGCAATTACTTTCACGCTTCACACAATCACTTTGTTTTGAAGCGATTCAGTGGCATATGAGGAGGCCAAGATGTGAGTGATTTTGTTACCTTGCTCCCTCTTACTGCTGCAACTGCTTCTTCCGCCGCTTTCACTGCAGCCACTTTCAATGTCCCCTAACTTACTACCCTCGGCAAGACTATTGACGCCACTTTAACCTTCCCTTCTCTAACTTACTTGTATGATAGCATACGAGATTTCTTCGGGTTTCTACTTCTGTTTATCCTTTCTTTTTAGAAAACCGCCTCACTCAAACGATAACCAAGCTCCTGCGACAACTTCCAAATCCCCCTCAACCACGTCGACAGCAACGACGTCGGTTGAGAAAGCGCGACAGAGGGAGGAGACACGACTCTTTAATGAGTCCGTAGATGCCCTGGCTGAACGCCTTCGTCCAGTCCTCGAGGCTGTGAAGGCGCACAAGTTTGCTGGCCCCTTTCTTGCTCCAGTCACTGCCTCTGAGGCTCCTGGGTACTTTAATATAATCACATTTCCCATCGGTAAGTGGCTCTTTTTCATGTTTATCTCTTCGTTGCGTCAAAATCCCTTTGCTTCCCGATTTGAAATTAAGCTTTTTTTAATTGCTCAAGCTCTAAAGCTCAATCTAACGGAGCTTATGCACTTAGTGTAATCGGGTCTCCGATTGGCATCAGTGTGCATTTTCTATGCCTTAATGCTATTTTGATAATCGTGCCGTGTGAGGTATGCAACTGATATTGTTATGAATGCCCGATGAATCGGTCGCCAGAAGGATTACTTGCCACAGCGCCTCATATCTCAACATTGTTGGGTCGCAGTCATAATTGCTCCGAGACGTAAACATATCGCGTACAAAAACTATTCAATTGTGTTGTCAAGGTGTTTGTTTTTCCATGGACCTTAGATTAGCCGATCACAGTCCCCTTCTTAAAGCTACTCTGCGTTAGTTTTTCCATTACTCTCTGGCAGTCATTTTTGAGCAAATCTACTCCGCGGGGTTTTAATGTTCTAGGC